AGATCATGTCCTAAAATACCGGGAGGCTAGTAACACCAAATCATTATTCAACAGGAATGTATTTAGAAGACATAGAAATACACAAACACCAAGAGAACTTCAACAGAAAGGAAGATAGAACATGTCTACCAAAGATCTTGCACAAAACATTGAAAGGCGCTAAAACGAAGCCATGTCGACCACGCCATTGAAGATGATTGTTGCAGTTGAAATATTTAAAGATTGTAACCAAAGAACACCACGGCAAAACCTGGAAACCAACCGGTTCAGCTTATGGCTCAGCTTATACATTTTGGCTTGGCTCAATCAGCTCTTCTAAATGTATGGTGTATTATTCTGAGGATCATCTCACCATCTCCAACAAGTGTTTATATCTCAAAAAAAATGTTTTAATGATAATTATAATAATAATGATAATCAACTGAGGGGTTCATAGCCTACCAGTACGGTGTCTTCAACACCATAGTCTATCGCAATCGCGTGATGGGTATAGAGGCTCCTGAAACAAGGTGCAGGGACTGCCGCGAGGCGCCCGAGACCCTAATGCACTTGCTATCAGCATGCCCAGCTTTTTCGGTCTCAGCCCATCGACATAACGCGGCCCTACTACCAACGGCACTTTTACGGTATTGACAAGACACCGGTGTTGCCCCAAGCTTTGGGGATATTGAATTCATTGAATTGTTTCAACAACATGAAAATCTCATGACCGCAGATCAGTATTCAAAAGTGACGCAGATGTACAAAAGTGGCGCATATGTTCAAAAGTGGCGCATATGTTCAAAAGTGGCGCATACGTTCAAAAGTGGCGCATACGTTCAAAAGTGGCGCATATGTTCAAAAGTGGGGCATATGTTGGAATGCTAATGCGAGTGTCATAAGTGAATCTATGAATAACACGCAGGTGTGATTCACAAACAGTGAACTAGGCTGAATGATATCCAAATGAATTGGATATAGAGCTCATGGCAAAGCAGGTTGTCGATAGCTTATCACACAATTGGCTGATATGCGATCCAAAGTTCTATTTCTTGTCAATATGAAGTAAGAACTTATTCTCTTCTTCTAAGCCAATGATTTGCTCTTCAAGAAATATATGATCTAAATGGCATTCGAAAAAAATTTAATTTGTAACTGATTCACTTTTCTCAAGTCATTTGCAATATTTGTTTTTAATGCATGAACATAATTATACCAAAGTATAGACGTGTCATCAACAGATATTGTGAATTTACCTTCTATAGAAATATCAGCAAGTTTATTAATATACAATATAAAGAGAAAGGACCGAAGACAGATCCCTGAGGTGCCCCACTTTCAACTTCCATCTTGTCTGATTTCATATATTTGAAGTTCACCTTCCGAACACAGTCTAATAAATTAGATTCAAAACATGACAAAATTTTGCCCCCAAATCCATAACTATGAACAAATTGCCTATTTGAATTTACTGTGTATTTTTTGAGTAGTTTAAAAAGTGTCGTGCATTTTGTAGTTTTCTCAACGACATTATGATCTTTAGAAATCAATAAATGTTTATCTATCTAATAATGGTGTTACTGGAATTTTTCTTGCATGACTAATTACAGAATTACGACTTGTTAATTGCTTCTCTTTTTCTCGTTTTCACTTAGTACCTAGTTTTAAAGATGTCTCAAATATTAATTCAACAAACATTTGCTCTTTGCTGATTATTTATCGATTAAATAATTTTTGATAATTATTGGAACTGAAAATAAATTCGTCGGTTCGTAACCTTGCAACTAATTATCGATATCTAATTAACAGGCAGTGATTGTTAGTTAATGATGATTGAAATAACTTTTAAAAGCCATAATGTTTTTCAATAATGGATTTTTCTCAAGATATTCAAATTGAAATTTGCTGCGAATTGAGAGGGAAAGTGGGTCTTTAGGACCAAATTTTTAGCATTATCAAGAAGATAGAAGTAGAATTAATTGAACAGAACCCAAACAATAATGAAGGATGAGTAATACATTTTGAAGTACTAGGGAATTAAATTTTTAATCGAAAATACTATTTGGCGTTGATTATCTGTCATTAAGAGTCATCAGACAGTAAAGACATCATTACTATGTTCGGAGGACGACTTTCAAACGTTTTTTGATATTTCTCAAACTGAGGTATTTGAGTCTTTGAGAAAAAAAAACAAATGAATTGAACTCAATCATTATCATTACAATTTATATTCGACCATTCAAAGTGTTGACTAGCCATGTTTGACCGTTCAAACTTTCGATTATATATAATCGACAGATCAATTATAAAATGAAAATAATATGTAGCTCTTCAGTGTCTTCAAAGGATTATGATAAACCTATCAATATGACACTGAGGACTCAATGAGTAAGTGACTAATAGGCCTAACAAAAAATGGTCAACTTATGTCTCTTTAAATGAATATTGAATACAGCAATGAGATTGATGTCTAATATAACTAAAAAAACACTTTGTTTTCATAGCGTTTTTCGATGAAGTATATATAAATTTGATAAATTAGTTAACCCCATAATATGTACTTATATAGATGATTATCTTCTGCTATTTATATGAATTCAATGTGTAATGAAGGAATTTCAAAAATTACTTGAAATATTAGAAATTGTGTTACAAACACTCACTATCACAAATGTGGGTTGTGTATGCTCTAAGGAATACATCCTATCATGTTCTTTTTCTTGACCAATTTATTATTAGATTACTATTTTGTGTTCTCTGTTTCCAGTAAACTATATCCACAAATTGAAACTGATATTCACAAAATCCTGTTCAGCTTTTCACGTCAATGGGAAGAGAAATGAGAGAATTTTTCTGGAATAACTTTCAGTTTTTTGCGCATGAAAATTGTGTTGTCACACAAAATTATTATTCGTGAAAGATTTGTATCCGTTTGTATAATATCCTGTAAGAAAAACCTATGTTTTGAATACTTCAAAAACTAACCTATTTTTAGATTTAAAGGGCAGTACCTGAAAAATTTTTGAAGGCGGATGACGTTTCTATTTTTACATATAAATATGGGAAGATACGAAAAATGCACCACCTTGCTATTTAAGTACACTTGGCGTTTTAGATTTTTCGATTTGTCTTAAATAATCAGACAATAACAAAAATATCAATCAAAACCTGAATGCGGTACTAGAAGATCTTGGAGTATTTAATAAATTATCGTTTCATGTTAACCGCACTCTCCACGGCACATACATTTTTACATAAACATATTCATTGTCCATCGGATCGATTATTTACATTTAATTGATGTAAGAATCAAAAATCATAGTTCACTTCAATGCACTATAAATACACTACTATACAGTTCACATGACATCTAAAGTAGCGTTCGCAATGTTCACATAGTCACCTGTCAAACTGAAAACGCAATGTCATTAGTAGGAAAAAAGTTCAACGGTGAGGGCGCTAGTATGTACAGCAAATCCAGTGCCCAAAGGAAAGAAAGAAATTATAATAGAAATCCAGGGTTTGTGAAGAACCCTGCAGAAAATGGTTTCCTCAAACGATGGATTCCCATCGCTTTTTTACCCGATGATTCGACGATACGAAAGATTTCTGGTTCTAATACAAATTTTCATTCATCGGGAAAGATCCATCCAAATATTTAAACTTATTTTCAATGACGGAATACGACAATTGATAGTGATAATTATGATGCTCAAGGTTGGCAGTTATCTGATTGATAGACGTACAGAAATGTCTATTGGCGAGAACCAATTGACTGATTTGTAAGCATATTTTCTGATGACGAAAAAGGTTGAAATATTTTCAACTTGGGAAAGAAAAGTGTTGGCCTACTCCATCTTCATATAAAAAATTGGGGAATTTTCCAAAGAAAGGAAAAAACAATTAAATTCCAGAAGAAACTATTCACCGTAATGTGTAGGCAATAAGTGTCTTATTCCGAAGCATCGATGTCCACCATTGAAGAAGTCAGTATGTATGAAATTTTTCCTCTTTCACATACTGTAGCGTGTAGCAATCCTGAGAATGATATCTGATTCAATTCCATAACGAATGTTTGGAGTTCAAACTGAATAAAAAGTATAGGAATGTAGGCTTTCACGGCTGGCATCAATGTTTTGGTTGGTTTCCGGGTTATGCCATGGTCTTCTTTGGTTACAATCTCCAAACGTTTCAACTGTAACTGCGGCAGTCATCTACTGTGGCGTGGTAGAAGTATTCTTCTTGACGTATCAACTGTAACTGATATTAGCCTCTAAACTAAAAGATAAGTATCTGTATTAATTTTCACTTATTTTCTTGATAGGCAGAATTATTGAATACAAGTGACTATTTAATAAAACATTTTAATAGTTTGCATTTTCTACGCCTGTATAGAGTCTCCCATTACATTTTTCTTCAGGTTGTAAGAGTTGAAAATACCCAGAAAGGTTGATAAAAACTTTGATTTACTCCACAAAATAATTATTGTCATTCAGCAATTTGATGTAATGTGAACTAGCCTTAACATAGATGTTAGATATGTCAATGTCAGATATGTCGATGATTGTAGCAGGGTTACCAATGTGTGGGTAATTACCCGATTTGCGGATAATTTGATGTCTATGTGATGTAAAGTGGGTAATGTTTGGAAGTGGGTAATTTGTAGAACTAAACTGGGACTTTATAGTTTTTGGTATATATTACGTACCTTTCAGGCGGAAACAACAAAAGGGCACACGACACAATTTATGAACATGCAGTCTGTATAATCACAGAAGTTGAAGTACTTTTTGCATCGAATATACTTTACACCCTACTTTCACTTCAAAAAAGTTGTCACAATGTAAATCAATGGAAGCGTTCATACATCATACTTTCAAAATTGAAATATAAATTGAAAGTTTGTTGTATCTTCCAGCCGAAAAGTAAAATGAGGATTTTTTTGTTGGGCTGTGAAATGGATGAAAGGTGAATGTTGTAGATACATATAAACATCTGTCATTTGTTGAAGCATTCCTTGAAGGTTCTAAGTCACCAAAGTGGGCCCAAGGCTGATTTTTGTTACGATGCATATGAAATTTCTTAATTGAGAGAGCTTAAGGTCTAAGCCAGTCCTAATACTCTACGGAAAATAGGGCCATTAGCCCACAAATTAGAAGGTTCAACTTGAAATCAATATCGGGCACAGATGAGTAATTTCCACATATAGTTCTGTGGTAATTCCTCTGTGATTTAGGCATAAATGTTAAATTTTGCTACTGAAGTAAAAGAAGAAGAAATTCGGCGGTTTCATTTTAAGGGTTAGGAAATTCAAATTTGCAAAAGTTTGGTGATTTTGTTATTAGATATTTCCAAAAAACTTGTAGAGCACTCCGAATGAATGAAAGTGAAGAATTAGACCAGAAGACCTACATTTATAGCAGTATTTCATAATAAACAATCTTCAATGGGTCGCTTGCAGACTGCTCCAGAAAATTGCCCGAAAAGGAATCTTCAGGAACCAACAAACTCTTGGGTTTTTTTGCTGAAAGGTATGGTAATAGCCTAATCCAACCATAATCTATTCAGAACTTCATTACCGAGTAAAGAATAATTCTTAATAGCCACTTCATTAAGACAAGGAAGTCACTTTTTATGGAAACCACATTTAAACGTATTTTCTGAAGGTGTATTCATGCACCAATCTAACAAATCGTAAGAAGTATTTATTTTCATTGGGAAGTTTCAGTTGAAACGAATGTTTTCCAATATAAATTCTTGTGACTTTAAACTTTTCATTTACAACTTGAAACAGTTACATTATGAAACCTAAGAGTTTGATCAACAAAATAATATCAATTATGATAGGCTATAAGTTGTACGAGTAAATATTCCACATGAAGAGTAAATGACAATTTGCCACCTACTTGAATAACACATGTAGGCTATTGTGATACCTCAGGTTAGAAATTACTATCGTCTCAAAATATTATGAGTAAATAAGTATTTTTTGAGAAAAACTAAAATCATCACATTTTTTGAACAGACAGCGTACGAAAGAGATAAAATTTCAGTGACATGAAACACTGTCATCCTCAATGGCGGACATCTGATGTTTCGAATTGAGACACTTGCCACTTGCAAGATGAAACACCGATGGCGGAATACGACAATTGATAGTGACAAATATGATACTCAAGGTTAGCAGTTATCTATTGGCGAGAACCAATTGACTGAATTGTAAGAATCTTTCCCGATGACGCAAAAGGTCGAAATATTTTCAACTTGTATAATCGTTCGACCTTTATCTGCTCTCGTAAAAATCACTTCATTATCTTTAACTTTTTGCTTAATTGATTTTGCAATTTTACTTTCTCCATCAGACTGAATTTGATAACCGGTTCAGATTTCAAAATGTTTGCCGCGACGTGTTTATTATAATTACAAGTACCTCTCAGAGCCAGCTCTGTTTCTATACCTAAACATTCTATGGTCGTTGAATTAATATATGGTTTTATGTTATGACTGAGGCCTTTTTGTAATAATCTCGTTTCCTTCAGTGTACATTTCGTGTCGGATAGATTTACAAATCTGTCGAAAAACTTATGATTAGAATAGTTTTCCAAACTTTGGGCCCGTTTCTCAGGAAGTCTAAACTGAATCAATCGTTGGAGTTTGTTCTTTTGTATCAAATATTTTTTGTGAATTATGTCGTTAACTTTTTCACGAGCGTCTGTGTCCAAAGTTTGGAATTCTGGATTTGTTGAAATTTCTGTAAAAATTGTGCAGGCAGTCAAAACTGAAGTATGGCCAAATTTATTTTATATTATTTCCAATTCCTTTGAAAGTGGAATAGTTCCAAATAAAATGAAAATTGAAAAGGTTTTGCCCATATATAAAAGTGGCAAAAAAAAGATTCAAACTATTTTGGAAAATTCTTGGAGAAACTGATGAATTATCTGGAAAACAATAACCTTCTATATAGAGGTCAATACGGTTTTTGCAGAGACAGCGGTAATGGACTTTGTGACGCAAATCCAAATGGAAATTGGTGGAAATAAGAAATGTTGTCTTTTGCTCCTCGATTAGTGCAAAGCTTTTGATTCAGTTGACCATAGTATATTTTTGAAAACATTCAATATTGGAATCAGAGGTAATCTTGAATAGTTTCAAAATAATTTGTTTGATAGAAGACAGTATGTTTATATAGGTAATGAAAAAAGCCATTTTCAAAATATAACTTGTGGTGTACCTACCCCAAGAAACCATCCTTGATCCTGTTATTTTCCTTATTTATACTAATTCACTAGCCAATTCAAAATTGAATGGTATAATTGAGTTATTTGCTGATGATACTACTGTTGTATATTTTTCAGACAGTTACAAAAATACAAAAATTATATGAAGAATGATTTGGATGAAATTCTCATTTGGCTTAATGAACATAACAG